TCCTCCTTCCTTCTTTGCCTCCTTCTTTTCTTTTTTCTCTCCTTCCTTCCTTCATTACCCCCTTCCTTATTTTATGAATTCCTTCCTTCTTTCGTTGCCTCCATCCTTTCTTGTTTCTTTGCCATCTTTTCTTCTTTGATTCTTTCTTTCCTTCCTTCTTTTATTCTTTACTTCCTACTTTCGTTGCCTCATTTATTCCTCCTTTGCCTCCTTCCTTCCTTGTTTCTTTGCCTCCTTTTCTTCTTTTATTATTTCCTTCCTTCCTTCTTTCATTTCCCCTTTCTTCTTTTATTATTTCCTTTCTTCAATATCTTGTTCCTTCCTCATGGCTTCATTCCTTTCCCCCTCTTTTAATAATCTACTCTCATGCTCATCGGAAACGGAACGCGCTATCCCCCAGACTCTGACAATCCTGGCGCAGGTAAATCATTCCTGGTTTTGTCTGCTGGACGACACACGCGCGTCATTATCTGTGATGGCAGGCTGATTTGATGAGATTGTGGTGAGCATTACGCTAAATGTTTCCTTCAGCCCCAGCAGCGGGTGCTGGTGTTAATTTGCTCTAATGGAAGGGATCCTGCTTCCTCAGCCGAATGCCATTAAATCCCCCGGAGATCCTGCCACAAGCCCCAGAACGAGTGAGGCTTCAAACTTCGACAAGCGTTGCTTCTTAGTAAATTGTTGTTATTTCTCTCCTTTTAATTACTGGGCTTGCAACTTATTGGTCGAGGATAGGGAGTCTTTGATGTAATATAATCTAATTTAAATAATTAAACCATGCTTTATTTGCATACCGCTTAAAAAGTCATTATATTATGCCTTTAATGCTGCTCTCTGCAGATTACCGTATAACTCTCAGTCTCGTGTAACTGTTCTTTCTTTAACCCTTCAAGAACTGAAGCTACAAGTACCAGTCTTTAATTTATGGGCTGTAATCGTTTAGAGTCTTGTCCGATTTGTATTACAGGAAATAAAAACCAATGTCCGTGAAACATGAATCCACATTCTAAGATGAAGGAAATAAAACATGAAAAAAATGTTCTGTTCCAGCATTCCTTTGTTCGTAGGTTTTGAAAATGTTCCACCCATTTATGAGATCAGTGCTGCACAGAATGCCCTGCACTCTGAGCTGTTCAGTTATTATGCTAATGAGTTATGCTGTTGGTGGTACATTTGTATTGCTGTGAATTTGATAAAGCAGTACAAAAGAGCTTCTGATTGCATCAAATTGCAGATAAAACCAACATTTTGTTTCAAAATTTAATCTCATTTTGCAAATTAAAGTCTATCCTTGAGGGACAGGTAGTTGTTCTTTTAATCCCATTAACAAAAGCAATGCTCGTAATCAGCCTTGGCAGCACCGTTCAGATCACTGGCGCTTCTCCTGAAATGTTTGTGCAGGAATTGGTGGCTTCCTGATTAGCTAGACTCCTGAATTTCTTGACTCCTTTGGTGATTTTCAAAGACAACAATAAAAGTACCAAGCGCAAGGCCTCTCTTCAATCATTTGCTATTTCATCATGTTACCCTTGAGTGGAGTGTGTGAGGGCAGATATGTAGCGCTGGGCTTGTTTTCGCTGCGTTTGGTGTGTGAGATCCGCATGGAGCTCCCACAGAGGTGCCATATGCTCCTCAGACTACGGTGTCTTCTCATCCAGTGTTAACGACTGAACACTAACAAAATCACTCGCTCATCCCTTTTCGTCCTGACCATAAATAAAATGCTCATTTCTCTTCACAAAGCTCTCATTATTCGGCAAGCGTTGCTGTAATCGAAAGATACCCAGCGTTTTCCATCTGGACATAAAATAAACACAACTGCTCCTGGGTGTGATGTAATGTTACCGTGACCTCCCTGCACCCTCTAAAGCTCATTTCTGCAAGAACGGCTGCGCTCGTGTCAAGATTGACGTGCTGCTGTCCTCCTGTAGAGGGCAGAGTTTGCTGGGAATATGGTCACAATGGCAGGCTGTTTTAACATTCATTGTGACGGTTCTTCAAACACTTTTGATACCAGGATTTTTTATATTACTTATACAATTTATTTATAGTTATTTGTAGATGTCAGCCGCAATACTCTCTTTTGTTTATTTTTTAAGATTTATAACAGTCTAAATACCCTGTTTTTGTTGTTATGAAAACATTTTCTATGTGTAAAATTTCATGGTTTAAATTATTAGCATATTTTTACAGCTCTGGAAAGATTGCTTTTTTCATGAAGTTTTATGGTTACATTTCTTTAACTTCAGTTATTGTAAAGGAGAATTACATTATTTTACAGGCTTACATAAGAATTTTAAAAAGATTAAATTACTCTCAAATTTTCTGTATTCCAATTTTTACTGTAATTTATTGAAAAATTACATTTGAATTAAAAATTTTATTATTTTGCTAGTTAAATTTACTCATTGAGTTTGTGTAGGAAACATGTTTATGTTGTATATCTGTCAAATTCCAGGTTTTAAATTTTCATAGTTACAACTTATTAGCATATTTTTACAGCTCAGGACCGTCAAATTTAAAGTTGCTTTTTTCAAGTAATTTTATAATAACATTTCTTTAATAAAATAAAAAATGCAGTCATTTTATAGGAAAATGACATTATTTTACAGAGTGTAAAAAATATATGAAATACAGTAACATTTTACGCAGTGCACTTTTAATAAAAAAATGTATTTAAAAAATTTACGGCTTAATTATGGCTTAAATTTTTATAGTTACAACTTCTTAGCATATTTTTACAGCTCAGGGCGGTTAAATTTAAAGTTGTTTTTTTATTTTATGACTACCGTCATACTTCCATCATTTATTAGCAAAATAACATTATTTTACAGGTTTATATAATAATTAATATATATTATAGTAAAATTGTATGCAGTGCATTTTTTGACAGTAATTTATTGACAAAGTTTAACATTTTTATTTAAAAAAAATGACATTATTTTTGCTAGTTAAGTTTGTCTCGGCAACTTTTTATAAAATCTAAATTTTAATTTTATGATTACAACTTATAACAACTAATTTTTAAACTACTCAGGGCCCTCAGTCTTTAAATAAATAGGCCAGATCTATGCTAAGCTAATGCTAATAGCGATATCTCCGAATCACTAATCATTTCTGAAATGGTAATAAAACGGTTTTCTCAGTTTCTTCAGAGCCAATCTGAAGAAAGAGTGTTTCTTTAAATTGTTATTTTCAAATGACTACTTATTATAACCATTGACTCCTTCTTACCAATTACAAAACTAAAATACATCCCAGTCAAAACGATACATTAGTGTCTAGCAATTATGGTTGCATTAAAATATAGATGTTTGAATGGCTTGCCATAGTGTTGGTGACATCACCGTTGCTCAAGCTGTTCTCTGAGGGGTTCTGGCTCCTAGAATATCTTTTGATTCACCTTCTTGAAGCAAGAAGTCACATACCAGAGCCTCGTCTTTCACATTGCATCAAGCAGAGGCTTTGAAAGGACTGAGCAATGTCAGGCGGAGATTTCGATGCAGAATCACAACAAATTAATCAAAAGTAGAGCTGTACCCTAAATGAAACCTGTGAATGTTTAACCACAGAAAGCCCATTAAGGTCAAGAACCAAGTGATTCACATTTTTACCAAAGGATTTCCCTTTTATTTTAATCACTTTAAATGAGTGAATTATACTTTTTGTCTTTATTTTATCCTAAATTAAGAAGAAAAAAGGGAAGCTATTGTTATCATAACTGTCTAAATAACATGCTTTTTTTGTTATTACAGCATTTCATACCTGTCAAAATCCGTTCTTTAAATGGTCATAATTAAAACGATACATAATTGTTACAGCTCTGTTCAATTAAAAGTATTTTTCATGTCACTTTCTTGAATAAAATATTAACTTTGACACTATATTTAATATAAGGGTATAAGAATTAAAACAAATACAGTAAAATTTTTAAGAAGTAAATTTTACCAATATTTTGTGAGGAAATTTAGTTAGTTGGATGTTTTGTAAAAAAATATTTCAACAAAAACAGAAATTTTTTTTGTGATTTAAGTTTATTCAAGTTTGTCTAGGAAACATGTTTATGTTTTTATGAAAATATTTTATACTTACTGTATTTTACAGCTCTGTTATTTATTTTAATGTACATATATATAAAATGCTTCTGTCATTTAACAGGAAAATGGCATTATTTTACAGGTTTATTTAAGAATAAAAATTCATTAAATGTTAAGCAGTATGTTTTTCACACATTAAATTTAGATTTTTATAGAAATTTTTTATTAAAAAATTATAAAAAAGAAAACAATTTTTCAGCTCAGAACTGTCAAATTTCAATTTTATAGAAAAACATTTTACATCATTTTTTTTATTCTGTCATTTAACTGGAAAATTACATTATTTTACAGGTTTTTATAAGAATAAAAATACAGTAATTGTTATACAGTATGTTTTTACCCAAAAAATCATTTACAAAGTTTATATTTTCTTACTAGTTTATATAATCTTACTAGTTCCATTGTTTTAAGAATACATTTGTGTCTGTCAAATTCCAGGGTTTAACTATTAAAACTAAACTCATGTAGTAGTGGATTATGGGTAAAATAGTAGAAAATACTTCTGGAAATAGTAGATCACTAGTAGATGGTAGATACAATAGTTTTTATTTAATCAAATCTTTCGTGACCATGTGCAACATCCCAGTGCCCCTAGAGGAGTCAACACTGAAGTGACTGAAGATACAATTCATCGACTTGCCACTAGAGGCAAACTAATGTAAAGTTTTTGTTTTCATTTCCACGTTTTCCCATCGTCAACTAAATGGTAAGGACACAATACCAAAAAAAAAGGAAAATTTCTGACTCTGTTCACTATGTTTATAAATAGTGTTAAAGAGCCTAGGGTTTGGGACATACTCAATCTCATTTGAATGCTTTTTAAATGTTGTGTTTACATTTACATTTATGCATTTGGCAAACGCTTTTATCCAAAGCGACTTACATTTGAATGGACATATTTTTTTTTCCCTTGGATTAGAACCCACAACCTTTGAGTTGTTAGCGCAATGCTCTACCAACTGAGCCACAGGAAAGCACAGTGTTGACTGTGACAGTATGTTCTTACCATACTGTGTCTGGTTATCTGAGTTTTTTTTTGCCCAAATTAGAACTTCTGGTCTTCCAGTTCCGTACAATGTTCCTCACAGTTGAGCCTTAAAAATGATCTATACCTCTAGCCGATTGCTAGGCTGAAATGATGCTTTTGCGGGTAGTTGTTTTTGTGTGGTTTTGGAGGTTTATTGATGGGTATTGGCTCACTGTTAAGACGAGGGTATGAGGTAGGTTTTGATTGATTGTTGGGGTATACCGCCCTCATGCCTCAATCTGATCTTCCACCCTTGTAGATATTTTCCTCCGATTTTCACGTGCCATTCACTTGATGTTTTGCACGTGTCGTTGCTGAAAGGCAGCCTTGTCCTTCACTGTCACTCAGCTGATGCTCAGATGAAGGACATTCATGGCCGCTCAGGGAAACATCGCTCACGTTTACGAGGATGAAGAAAACAACTTAAAGTGATTGTCAACGTGTGGTGCGTAATTACCTCGGGTCAGCTCCATCCTGAAATTCATTTGCGGTCTCAAATGCACATTGGATTGTGGAAAGAAGGAGGTTTTGTGACTATAAGCTGGTGATTGTGGGTGAGGATGTGACAGGAGGCATTTTCTTGGTAGGGGATGAAGACATTTTTATGCACCTGCCAGTCTTTGAGGAATGACTCACTTTCACATTACCACTGCACTGCCCTCTGGTGACCAACCCTCCACACATGCAGATGCAAAGCATGGGAACTTCCTGTTGTCCAGAGGTTGGGCAGCAAACGTAAAAAGGCCACAATCTTGCCGATTCGTAGAGGTCATTGGCACGTGTTTGGGACCAGTCCCTCCAGGATGAGACATTTCAACTAAATAAAGTTTATATGATTTAAACAAAAGTTTGCATAAATATAGGCATAATATCAATTCTCTTTTGCAGAAATAACAACCTCTAAAAGCCTTCTATAGCTTCCATTTAGAGTCTGGATCCTGTCAGAAGGAATTTGAACCATTCTTATCTCCAGATGGCCATTCCAGAATGTTCTACTTAACTCTACGAATGCCCCAGTAGATTTCGAGGTGTGTTTAGGGTCATTTTCTCAATACAATTGGTTCCTGTACATTGTTCTCCAGAATTTGCTGATATTCAGTGGAATCCATGCGACCCTCAACTTTAACAACATTCCCAGTCCCTGCATTGGCCACTCAGTCCCACAGTGTGATGGGACAACCACCACATGTGGAATGGGTGGCAAGTTTTACGCCAAGCATAACGCTCCTTGTTTTGCCCAAATAAAAAAAAAACATCAGTCTACAGCACCTTTTTGCAAAATGAAACGGACTCGTCCAAACGTGCTTACTTCAAGCGACATTTGTGTTGTGTCCGGAGAAAAGGCTTTTAAGCATCACTCGTCAATACAGCATCTGCTTGTGTGAAGAGCTCTGAATAGTTACACAGTGACACCATCTGCAAGATAATCTTGAAGGTCTTTGGAGCTGGTCTGTGGGTTGTCCGTTCTCACCATCCTGCAAATCTGAGATTTGTCTTGGTCTGCCACTTCAGGTTTTAATTTGAACTTCTGGTCTTCCAATTCTGCACAATGTTCCTCACAGTTGAAATAACCAGTTATTTCTAAAGGAAAATCATGGAAAAGTACAGGGGTGCCCAAACCATTGTATACATGTTTTGATCCTCATTGGTGGCCCCTCTGCATAAATGATTGCTTTTTTGGTGACTAGTCAAGTAGCAGAGAGTGAGCCCTAATTTCCTGTAAATTCCAAGTTTTCCTGCAGATGTTTGACACCTCCAGTTCTGAACGCTCTCTCTCTCTCTCTCTCTCTCTCTCTCTCTCTCTCTTAATGGAGTGCTTGTTTTAAACGCAGAGCTTCCATGGAGAGAACATAGGGATTCCTGGGATTGATTGGAGCTCTGGAAGAGATTTATTACAATGTTGTGTGTGCTTTGTTTTGCGCAGTGCGGTAGATTAGCTCTCAGCTGATTTGTCTCCCTTCACCTCGAGCCCCTCTCTCCCCCACCCCCTTAGCGCTACACCAATAGGAACCTGCGGCTTGACTTAAGTGTATATGTTTTGCGTCCATGCTTAAGCACAATCCTCTTAATGGCATGGACAGATCACGAGATGCTGTAAAATCCATTCATGCGGCCGAAGTGGTGGAATTTGTCACCGGGAGAAATGCTTTACACTCTGAGCTCCAAACACCAGCTTTATGTGTTTCGGAGGCTTGGCAGGGGCTCAGAGAAGCGTTTGTCAAGTGGTGCGACTCAAACTCATGTCCCACGTAAAAAGTGGGAAAGTAAAAGAGGCAAAAGTACCTGATGATTATAATTGTGATCACATTTTTTTAATTATTTAATTGAAATCTAAAGCAGTTCAAAAGTTTCTGATTATTTCTCAAAGCACATAATTTCCCAATCATGGGATGTATTTATATAGCGCCGCTCATTGGCTGATGACAAGCAGTCAATTTAAACACTTGAAATGTCTCAACACTCCATCAAGCAAAATGCTGGATTTAGAAGAAAGCGGTGTGGCCCTATATGGGACTTCTTTATGCCAGCGAGACAAAAGCAAGTGCTGGAGAGATGAGGTGTGTTTATCAATTTATTTAACTGCCTATTATATTAATTAATAGCTAATTAATTTATAGTTCTAGTAATTTTCCTTCCGTGTTTGTTGCTTACAGTCAGCCAGTGCACACGTGTCCTCACCGCCCCATTGAGCATTATGGTGCAATTGAAAGAAAGCGGTAGAGCCCCATATGGGATTTATGGTAGTAAATAGACTGTTGCTGCACCTGATTTCAGGTCTACTCCACCTTCTGGTCAATTTTTAAAACAAACAAAAAAGTTATAGTTGTTACCAATATATATGGATATATATTATTTTTGCAGATAACACAGTTATGTAATAGGAGTAGGTTTAAAAAGCCTTTTTAAGGAAGAAGAGTCATCTCTTTATTGAATGATTCCCTGGGGCATAATTGCACTTTCTGCCTGGGTTTCTGAGATTTTCCCATCACATTAATATTCATGTTTATAATCAAGGCTCATTGCATATGGATGAAGTTAAGTTTGAAGTGAAGTCAGCAGAACTTAAACTGACATTCTTTAAACAAGCTTCCCTTTGGCTGCAGAACAGGCATCATGTGGAGAAGTTCATGTGTTGTGCAGCTTTTTACATTTTGAAGAGGGGTTTACAATGCTCCCAATACTCAAAACTTCAAGTGGAAACCGATGACCCCAAAACATCAAAGTTAAGTGAACAGAACTGATCTTTTTTCAGTTCTTTTCACCTAAAAAAACATAATCACAATCCTGTAAAACCAATAATGGTGCTACTATACATTTGACGGTAAAGTTTTGACAACCACAGCTGCGTTTGTTTTTTTTTAACACACAAACCTTTAGACAGTTCTGAGCTGTAAAAAAGATGGTAATTAACTTGAACTAGAACTGTCTAATTTGGAGGTTTGTATTGTAATTATTACGGGTAATTAATATTTTTTACCGCCCAGAACAGTAAAGGTTAACTGTAATTATTAAAAGACAAACCTTGTTAAATTCATAGAATGCTACACTGGAAACCTTAATAAGGTAAATAAATTGATTCCTTCAATTTAATGAGTTATGAACAGTAAGCCCAAACATTTTATGGATGATTAAATCATTAAAAAAAAAACTTTTAAAGTTAATAGCTTTTTTTGTGCAACTTAAATGTTGTTGTGTGCAACTTAATTATTGCCATGTGTTGACAAAACCAAGATTACAGACTTTTTAATTTATTTATTATTATTATTATTATTATTATTATTGACAAGGGCAGCACAGTGGCGCAGTGGGTAGCACTGTGGCCTTCCAGGTAGAAGGTTGTCGGTTCAAGGCTCGCCGGTGACCTTCCTGGAAGGAGTTTGCATGTTCTCCCTGTGCTTGCGTGGGTTTCCTCCGGGTACTCCGGTTTCCCCCACAATCCCAAAAACATGCGGTTAGGTTAATTGACTAATCTAAAATTCCCCTTAGGTGTGCATGTGTGTGTGTGAATGTTGCCCTGCGATGGACTGGCGAACTGTCCAGGGTGTACCCCTGCCTCTCGCCCAATGTGTGCCGGAGATAGGCACCGGCAGACCCCCGTGACCCCGAAAGGGAATAAGCGGGAATGGAAAATGAATGAATGAATGAATATTATTGACAAGATTATGAACGAGCACATCAGAGGGACAGCTCAGGTTGGTTGTTTTGGAGACAAAGTCAGAGAGGCCAGGTTGAGATGGTTTGGACATGTGCAGAGGAGGGATACTGGTTAAATTGGTAGAAGGATGTTGGAGATGTAGCTGCCAAAGACGAGATATATGGATGAGCTGAAAGAGGACATGGAGTTAGTTGGTGCAAGAGAGGATACTGAGGACAGAGTTTGGTGGAAAAGGATGATTCGCTGTGGCGACACCTAAACTGGGAACAGCAGAAAGGAAAAGAAGAAGAGTATTATTATTATTTTAATGTTTTATTTGTTTATTTTTTTTATATTTTTGTTTAAATAAATAAATAAATAAAAATAGACTTAATATCTTAAGTATTAATTTTACCAGCACTCCTGGAAGTTTGTCATAAATTAAAACATTTAATGTGAATAATTATATTAAGTAGTGAAAATGCAAACCCTGAAATATTCACATAATTGAGAACACCATTAATCCTGAGCAAATCCCCAAAAATTCAGCCCCAAATGTTCAAGGAACCTCCACCATGCTTCACTGTTGCCTGCTTTAACAGCACATCTTGAACTTCCATTCCGTTTTGAAATCTGGTATAGACCTAGTTGCTACAGCATAAAAACCTTGTGTCTTGTTGCTGTGGTAGCAGAGTTTGGCTGTTCCTCCTCCCTTTAAGTCTCGTACACAGTTGTTTCTGTTTCAGTTAATGACTGGGTTTCAACTTGCGTGTGTGAGGCAAGTTAAAAGTTTCTTTTTGGGATCAACTTGC